GTGCGCAAGAGGCTGATCCCAGCTCACAGCCCCTAGAGCAGCTTTCACGCTGTGCCAAGCCCCGGTCTCGGCAATTTCCATGCCTGTCACAAAGGCCAGGTGGGCACGGAGCTGAGTCAGAGCTTCGGGCTGTGAGGCTGCCCGGCCTGGAGGCGGGCAGTGGGACTCGTGCCCAGTCCACACAGAGCCGAAGCTGGCCATGTGGCAGCTGGCACAGCACCTCCTGTGCCCTGGCTGGGCAGCTTGCCAGGTGCACCAGCCAGCTCTGTGTGGCTGCTTTAGGCCAGGAAGACCCTGACAGGAGGAATTCGGCTCTGGAGGACAGCTTATGCTGAGCCACTGGGGACAGGCAGGAGGTCGGGCCTGCTTGTGCTGCTTACCGTGGCCTGCCGGCATCTTGGCGCAGGGCAGCTCCAGAAAGGCCCGGTGAGCACTCGAGCACCCTGCTGCCGGGGCCCGCTGGCTTCCACCTGCACAGCCGGCTCCTGGAGGCATTTGCCACGGGTGGGCCTCCCGGATGGCACACAGCCCAAGTCTCCCACCTCAGCAGGCTCGGGTCCGGCTGTGGGCCAGCTCCTCCTGCACCTTCCTCTCTGTGCTGCTGGGTCAGCGCATGATCCAGCCTCAGGGGACAAAGGGCTCCTGCGGGTGAACCTTCCGCACGAGCCTTTGGCAGGCAGGCAGGCAGATTCCACACAGCTATGCCAGAAAGATATGCAAATAGCATCGGCCACACATCTTGGGATCCCACCTCCCACTGAAGATCACTCCTCCACTCCAGAAGGCAGCTCCCCCCTGCCCTGCACCCACGCCAGTGGGGCCGGATCTCAGCGGGGAGACCCCAGCCAGGCTGGTCTTCTTGGCCAGGAGTCTGATCCTCAGAGAGGCGCTGAGGCCACCGCAGGTGCTTGCTCCCGCAGCACATACACTGAGGTCACTGCAGGCAGGCAGGGTGTCTCTCCTCCCTCTAGGTGCCCTGGGCACTTGGTGATGGCTGCCTGGGTGGCACTGGAGGTGCAAGGCACTGCATCCCGAAACCTCTTGGCTGGCACTCCATGTGGTACTGCTGGAGACACAGGGCTGTAGTGTGGCACCTGCTGAGGCCCGAGACAGCGCTTCCCAGGCTAGCAGCTAGCAGCTAGCAGCATCTCACTGCTTGCCTGCCTCCCGTGCACGAGGGGCTCCAGAGCGCACCCAGAGCCCGGGGTGGGTGGGCACCACGCCTGCCCTCTGCAACCCTCCTCACAGCCGGCTGGCTGGCTGTCCTGCTGGCCAGGTTCTTCCAACCCAAGAACGTGGGTTGGACGTCGTCACTTGGATTCACAGAACATAACAAAGTGGCCGGGATGCCACTTCTGCTGTGAGGTCACGAGGGACTATATACTTCAGTCCTGCCAACGGATTTCCTCCCACAGATGTGGTAGGAGGCAGGCTCCTACAGAGGCCATGTGACAAAGGACAGAGGGCGGCCACTAGTCCCCAGAACCCAAAGACCTGAACACAGCCACTGTTATGTCGGCGAGCTTGGAAGCAGAACCTTCTGGGTAGACATTCTAGATGAGACTGCCACCTGGCCATGCTCTGACGGCAGCACTGGGAAGGACCCACCCAGATGTTCCCAGATTCCTGGACCTCAGCAGCTGGAAGCTGACATGGACATGCTGTCTTAGGTCTCCGGATTCCAGAGAAATAATGCAAAGCCTGAGGCGGGGGCTCTCAGCTCTGGGAAGTCTTTGACGCAGACCCAATCCTTAAGGAGTTCTCAGTCTGGGGCTTCAAGTTTAGAAAGAACTTGGGATGTCCCAAAAGTTCGCGAGGTCTTTTTGCTGCTGAACACGTGAGTCCTTAACATAAGCCAGGGCACCACCCTTCTCCCAAAATGGCCTGATTTCCATTTGTCAATACAGGGGAAAGCCAGCAGCTGCCGGGCAGGACGGGCGTGGCTTTAGTCCAAGTATCTACCCCTGGGATGCAACTGGAAAATGCCGGTTTCCCGGCTGAGACACAAAATAGCGTGGGCCCGAGAGGCCCCAGCCCCTCCCACCCCATCAGCATGGCGCCAGGCAGCTGGCTGCCAGCCGCATCCCAGGGGCAGAGGAGCGGCCAGCCGGTCCTGGGGTGAGCCCTTCTCAATCCACGGTGACGGTAGCGTGAGTTGGGTGAGTGCGTTCTGTTCCAGCTACTGGTCAGCAGGACTGACCTTGCAGTTAAAATGGACCAGTGCTTTTCCAAGTGGGGCCTGAGGATCGGCACCCAGGAGTGGGCTTTTCTGCACCTCACCCAGACACCTGCAGAGTAGGCCCCAAACCCAGGGGAGGTTGAGGGTTGAGTTGGGAACGGTGCCCATAAAGACAGCCCTGAATCATAATGGGCTTGGCCTTGGGAAGGGGGCGTCCCCTCCAATGGGGTTCCAGCTCTGGCATGGCGTCGAACCCGGGTCCTTGCACTTGGCAGCAGGCTCTTGGAGCACCGAGGTATCTCCCTGGCCCTGCTCCCCAGCCCTGTCGCTGGCCTTTTGTCAGCCATCTGATCCCTGCCGGCCTGGGGCAGAAGACAAGCGAGTCAGGGAATGGAACCCCTTGGCTATGGCCACACATGCTGGTTGGTCCCTCCGAGCCACTCCCGCCACAGCCTGAGGTGAGAGAACCGCTCTGCAGAGCCAGCGTAGGAGGCAGCCACGGATGTAGGACTGTGGGGCGGGGTCTGGGACAGTGTCTCAGCAGCAGCAGCTTACATGGAGAGGGATCCAGGAAGGAGTCATTCATTCAGACAGGAAGTGGCTGATGTCACCTCTGCACAAGCTCATCAGCTGAGACAAGCCACACAGTCACATCCCTGGACACCTGACCCTAACATACAGGGGGACGGGTCACTTGGGCACATCTTCCTGTGGCACCAGCTGTCCACCATTTGCCAAGATCTGAAATTTAATGTCTGGCAGGGTCTTGCGGGTTAGCCCAGTGGTTTAAGCACCTGCTTGGGCAAACTCAGGCACAGGGGACCACGGTTCAATCCCCACCTCCACATGCCATACCAGACCTGCCCTTAAGGCAGCCTGAGCCAGCAAAAAAAAAAAAAAAAAAATCCTTTTCAACTTTTAAAGGCTGGCCAGATAGCTCAGCAGACTAAAATGCCTGCTTAGGCAGAGCACAATGGCCAGGTTCGATGTCCAGCATGGCGTGCGGGCTCTGTTCCTGGGGTGCACTGAGATGGCAATTGAGACTGGGCGTAGTGGTGTGCACCTCTAATCCCAGCACTTGGGAGGCTGAAAACAGGAGAATCACTACAAGTCCGATTTATGTAGTGAAACCCTATAGACCCTGTCCTAAATACAGGGGAAAAAAAAAAAAGAAAAAAGAAAGAAAGAAAAAGAGCTGGCGACACTCAGTTACCTTGCGAGGCCCCTTCCACCAGCAGCTGGCATGTCACCACCACGAGGCAAGGGTACATGGTGTCCCGTAAGATGATTACAAGGCGCCTCTGCTACACAGGTGTAAGATGTCTTAAGACAGCCCTTGCGGGTGTGGCACAAGTGTGCGACGCCCCTACAGACCTTCAGGATACAAACACTGTGACCTTTGGCACCGAATTTCAAAGGGCCTGGTGGCCTAGACTCTTTGTCGTAGGTCTTCTGTTTACCTTTTCTTTTGTTTTCACCCCCATTTGCTCCCCAAAATAAAATTACGCCAGAAGCGAGTCTGCAAATATAAGAGTGATTTTATTGCAATATACCGTAGCTAAAATGGTCTGTGGGAGAACAGGACACATTTTGGACTTCGTCATGAATTACAACAACTTTGAGGGGACCCACAGAAGATGACAAATAAAAGGACAAATCTGATGGGGCAAGATAGGACAGAATCACATGACCTAGACAAAACCCACAGGGCATCACACGACAGTCCTCCCATACGGCTGTGCTCGTGAGGGGAGGACCACGGTGCATGCTGGCGTCCTGGCTCTGAGAGTCCCCAGGCTAGACTTTTCTTTGGCAAGAGTGTGACTTGTTTTCCGGGGAGACGTGAGGAGTCGGCCTCAGGGTGGTTACTCCGGGGTGCTGTGCTGTGGTTTCCTGAGCTGCGGGCTGCATCCCATGGGGGTCGACCCACTCCCAGCATGCTTCCCCAGGGTCAAGGGGCGTGGCGGGTCATGTTTCACAGTACAAGGACTGCTGGCTGGCCTGGGTCCACTGTCCACACAGGCGGTCCCTCGCCCAGGACAGTGAGGACAAGGGGCCGGGCCCAGTGCCAACCACGCCAGCCTGAGCTTCAGAGTGGCCACCACCAGCACCCGGGGCACAGGCAGCTGGAAACTGAAGTGCTCCTGGAGGAAAGAAGCCCTCCTCGGCCAGCCCCGGAGACACAAGGGCTCCCCGCACAAGGCCATCTCCGGCGCAGACCGCACAGGGCAGCCAGACGGCTGAGCTCAGTTTCTGGAACAGACAGAAGTCAGGACCACGGGCACGAGCTGCAGTGGTCACACGGGAGGAGGCAGCAGTCCTTATCCGGCACGCGCGTGTGTGCTCAGCCAAGCCCACGCACCCAGGGCTGGTAACCGGCCTCAGGAGCAGCTTCCCCACCACCAAGAACGAGCACCGGTGGCTCCCGCGCCCGCTGGGAGGGGAGGGGACATGTCTTACGCAGCCCCCGGCAAAGACTCGGCTGGAGGAGTGAGCGCCCAGGCAAAGGAAGCCGGGAGACGGGGCACGGCTGGGAGCCCCCGCGTTGCCCTCTACAAGATCCTCAGACATAGCACCACAAAAGAGAAGTGTACAAAGTCAGCACCAAGTTTCACTTAATTATCATCTACAGAAAACGTGGCTCCCTGTCTGGGCCCTGCAGGAAGGCGAATGGAGAAAGGCAGCCGGCGTCTGCACCTAGGTGGGCGCAGGAAAAGCACGGCACCAGATTCTTTTTCCTTCCCCGTAGGAAAAACACTCCGGATCTAATAATAAGCAAAGAAAAAACTGGCCTGGGAAAGGGGTCTGGCGCCTGCTTTTGCCCTGGCAGCGCGGCTTCTGGCTGACCCCGGCAAATTTCCAATGCGTTTGTATTCTTGTGGGGCGGAGCTTGCTACCTGCTGCGAGAATGAGACCAGACCCAGACAGGGCGCTTCACCCCACCTTCCGGGTCTCCCGGCAGGCCTGAGGCTGGGTTTCCACGCACGACTGAAAGGCAGGCACACTTAACATTTATAACAATACAATACAAATATTTACTTAAAACTCACAAAAACATAAGCACCTTTAATCCATCGGAAAGGCATATGCAGAATGACGTTTGGCCTCTACATGGATTGTGTTGAGGGTTGTTAAAAACAGGCTTCGGCGACCTTCGTGCAAGGCTGGCCTCAGCTCGTTTTTCGACGGTCAGGGGAAATACACATTTTCAAGTTGAATTAAAATAAAACTGAGAGAGATCCAAATACTGCCACCCCACCCCCACCCCTGCCAACCGTCCGCGATGCGGTCCATCCGAGGATAAGCCAGCGTGGGCGGGGCGGTGGCCGGTCCCTCCCCTTGGCGCGCGGTGTAGACGGAACGTGGGTGTGGCCCGAGAGGCAAGGCGCAGCTAGGTCATGTGATTCAGCTCCGGTGGGGACACGGCTCTCTCCCTGTCCGCTTTCCAGGTGCTCGGGGTCGGGCACTGCGTGGTACCAGGGCGCGGGTGCAGATGAATTCGAGCGGGAGGGGCGTGAGAAGCCTTCGCTGTCTGGGGTGACGACACGTGCATGGACACTCACAGAGGGTGTGCTGAGGTCACGAGGTTGCTCGGGAGACCAGGGTGCTGTGGGCCGCGCCTAGCCCATGAAGCAAGCCTGCCCCACTTCAAATCCAAATTTCTGTGACGTGTCGCCGAAGTCGTTGAACATGATGTCCACGATGGGCACCTGCTCCACTTTGGGGGTGTCTATCTCCAGCACCGTCTTCTGGTAGCCTTTCCTGGTCTGGGAAGGAGACAGGCGGGTGTGGTTAAGAACTGTGGGCCTCCTGTGGCTGCCACCACCACAGGCTCGCTTGGGGGTCTCTTCCCCTGCCTACTCCACAAGCCACTCGGGTGCATGGCACCATGGCCACATGCACTTGGCAAGTGTTGAAGGAAACACAGCCGTCTGACAGTGCTTTAACCGTCACGGTCATCTGAAGCCACTGTGCAGTCCCGGAGCAACATGGAGCCCGTCTCAGAAGGGGCCCTGCCCCCTGCCCCCTGCCCCCTGCCCCCTGCCCTGGAGATACCCCTCGCACCAGGCCCCTGGCAGCAGGACAGCTCCGATGCTTTATATCTAGACCTCCCGCAGAAGCCTTTTGCTGTTCGGGGGTGGGGGACGCTTTTGAAAGGTGACCGAATCACCCGACGCCAATGCGGGTTTGCTATTAGGAGGCGGGGCCTGGCTGGAGGGGGGCACTGAGGGCGTGGCCTCGCCTGCGCAGCTGCACCCGGCGGCTCCTCCCCTCCCCCTGCTTCCTGTCACCACGCCCTGAGCGGCTCTCCTCCCCTTAGACGCTTCTGCCTTGCCACTGACCACATGGGGATAGAAACTGCTGAAGCGTGAGTCGTGAGGAATCTCTCGCTGCAGTGGGGACATCAGTATTATGTCCTAGAGATGGGCAAGCGCCCATCCAGGGCAGCTACAGAACCAAGATCAAAACAAGGGGATTTTTGTTTCATAGTGGACAGTGGTCTCAGCAGAGTGCCCAGCCAAGTGCAGGGTCTCTGCCGCCCCCCTGGGAGCTCAGGGCAGGCAGGGACCCTGGGCAGGAGGAGGGGCCACTTTACCAGGCACAGGGAGGAGAAGAACCTGCACACCGCACCTCAGAGGAGTCCTGGGTAGTGCACGGCCTGCTTGGTGGTTGGCACACACCCCTCGATGAGGCCAGCAGGGCCCCGGAGGCAGCGTGCAGCCCCTCTTTGGATGAGCAACCTTCCGGAAAGGCTCCTCCCTCTCAGGTCCCGTGTGCCAGACCGAGGGAGGCATGCCATGCTGTGGTCCCCAAAGCCACCCAAATCCAGCCCCAGGTGTCGGGGGCAGAGTGACGAGGCTACCTGGCCCTGCAGTCGGGTCCGCTTTTGGAGACAGGGGTACCTGATTCCACATCCCTCCCTTGGGACACCCGTGGACCCCATGTCCTGGACAGAAACCAGGTTTACACTCGGAGCTGGGTCCGAGGAGCACTGTCTCCAGGACCCTGTCCCTGCAGAGGTCCTGAAATGAAGGGCAAGTTGCGAGGGTTCCCTGGATGGGCACCAGGGCTGGGGTGCAGCTGGCAGAAGGGCCCTCATGACGTGAGGCCAGTCCTGGCTCTGCGCTGCTCGAGGCCCTGGCTCTGCCCTGCCCTGCCCTGCCCGAGGTCCTGGCCCTGCCCTGCCCTGCCCTGCCCTGCCCGAGGTCCTGGCCCTGCCCTGCCCTGCCCTGCCCTGCCCTGCCCGAGGTCCTGGCCGGATTCAGGGAGCTGAATGTATTCCTAAGTGCTCACTAACCCTGACCCACGGGTGATGACAGAGGCAATCAGATCAGAGGGTGCAGCCCACAGGGGCAGAGAATGCTTGTACAAAGTGGCCCTAGATGGGCCCCTTGTCCCTTCCCTGCCAATGAGGATGCAGGGACAGGCAGCCTTCCGCACCCCCGACGGGAACGTCTCCAGGACCCGGCCCCACTGGCCCGTACACCCAAGCATCCCCCAACTCCCCCACCCATGGAGCTGTGCACAGTGTGTGCCTGTGGTCTGCCGGTGGCTGGGCTGCAGACATCTGTCATGGAGGCCCCAAGCCCTACCCAGCCCCGCTGTGCCCATACTGGGAGCCAGGTTCTAAGCTGCTGCAAACAACAGATAAGGAATATACTCGTCATGCCTCAGTTTCCCCAAAGCAAGTGGCGTGCACAGAAGCGGGCTAAGGACATCGAACCACGATGGGTTGGTTCCTCCTGTGGGCGCGTCCAGCTCCACTTCCCACACTGTCCTTCCCAGAGCCTGCTTAGTAAGAGCGCCCTGCACACCCGGCTGGGCCTGGAGGGGTGGGCACGAGGTGGGCTCACAGGACCGGAGCCCCGTCCACCCTGGGGACTCTGCTCTCAAGCTCTGGGGTAAGACCAGAGCCTGCACCTTCAGAAGCCGGGAGTCTCCGGCCATGCTGCTTTTCATGGCCGGCTGGCTGTCCTTTGTCAAAGGCCCCAGAAGGACCTTGCTGTTGGGTAGGTAGCCCAGTAGGCCCACAGCACAAATGTCGACGGTCCCCAACCCTGTAGAATGTCCTGGGCAGGCCACACAGACCCCAAGGGCACCCCTTTGCCATGTCAGGGCCACCCCAGTGCGTGGCCGCGGCACTCCACGTCCAGGGAAAGGGAAGCGGGCCAGCAGGCACGCCTGCGTCTACACACGGCACCCTCCAAGGACCCTGCAGCCGACTGGGGAGGCAGAGCCCCCACCCGTCAGCCTGCAAGGAAGAGCCAGATGCCGCGGCCACGTCTGCACACCACCTCCTTGCGCTCCACTCCCTCGCCTGGTCCAACCAGGGTCCCAAGTGAGATCGATGCGTGGCCCTGCCTGGGCCTGCACGATGCCGTGACCACAGGGAGCCATGTGGTATCAGGGACAAAGCATGGAGTCGCGCCCTGATTGCCACCCCAGGATGGGGAACTGTAGGCCTCATGGCAGCAGCCGCAGCCACAGCCTCTCCCCAACCCAGGCCCGGCAGCTCATGTGCTGAGCCAGCAGGTAACACCACCGGATTTATAGGACCCCTCTGCTCCAATTATCAGGCGCTCAGGGAGGGGCAAATTTGAGGCAGGCCGCAGCCCATGGTTGCCTTACCAAGTTATTCCAGAAGCATAAATAACCATTACTGGCCCACAACGGCCCCCTGGGGGCGCACAAAGCTGTGCAAACAGCGGAATTTATGTGGCGGCCGCCCTGGCCCTCTTGCCCAGTGATTTGTGCCCCTGTGGGGCCGGCTGTTCAGCAGCGCTGTCCATCAGGTACCCCAACTTCTCAAGCTGTTATTGTGACATGAATCAAGCTGACCTCCTGTCACTGGCCTCTGACCCCCCAGGGAGCCCGAGGTCATGACCTTTCCGAGTTAGGAGGGCCTGGTGGCACTGCAGGTCCAGGCTGTGCAGCTGCCACTCACTGCCTGGAGGGCACCACAGACCCACCTCTGCGTGCCCTCTGCCATCCCTTCCCCCTTGTCCCAGCTGCCCCAGGGCAGACTTCTCAGCGAGGCTGCTGCTGAGCCGTTGTCCTCGGCTCTCCCCAAGGCAGGCCCGCTTCCTGCCTCTCCAGCCCCAGCCACCATTCCGGCTGGATGTCCCCAACCCTGTGCCTGGCCTCTGCTTCCCAAAGCTCAAAGGACCTCAGCAGAGAGGAGACAGCGTGACCCAGGAGGTTTCTGGGGCAGCACATGCTATGACACCTGGCCACGCCCAGGAGCCACTGACAACAGCGTGGACACTGGGAACCAGTGGGCGCCACACCCAAGGGACGGCCCTGAGCGATAACCACAGCCCTGGGTGCCGGGCCAGGGTCACAGGGGAGGGTTGGGGTTGTTGCGTGGGCCATGGGAGGGCACCTGGGCCAAGTGAAGGGAATGGGGTCCCCTGTCAGGGAGTGACAGCAGGGGGCTCCGTCAGGTTTCCTGGTGCCCCACCTCCACTGCGAGGCCACAGCAGGGGCACACATCCGAGGACCTCCACAAGACCAGAGACGTGACCATCTCCCAGGATCCAAGGACACACCCAGACCCATGTGGCAGGGTGACGTGAGCGCCCACGGAGGGGCGCAGCGCGCCGGGCCACGCCCTCGGAAGGGCCCCGAGGATCCGGAAGTGAGACGCTGACCCCGGGTGGGTGGCACCAAGGAGCACTCACCGCGCATCCGTCCGTCAGGGCGCGGATGTAGGGGCTGTTGTCGTAGGACATCTCCTCGTCGTTGGAGCCCAGGAAGCGCATGGCCTTGTCGTAGCTGCCCGTGGCGGCGTCCTGCCAGGCCACTGACTGGTAGCAGTGGTAGGTGATGTTCTGGTGGGCGGAGGCACTCAGCAGCCTCAGGAAGGCCATCTGCACCACGCCCACGGGGTTGCCTTCTGCGTCCATGTAGGAGAGCTGTGGGAGGGGCCAGTGAGGGTGGGCTCAGCAGGGTGGGGACACGGTTGCACACAGGGCCCGGGAGGGCAGGGGCCCGAGCCACAGCCGGCCAGCTTGATCAGATTGATCAGAGCCCGCAGTGTGGGTAGGTCCCCGCCTCACCCCTCGGCTGGGGTGGCCTGGCGCTGTGCCACCCCGGTGTCCGCCGCTGCTCCCCCTCTGCCCCGCCTCCCTCCTTCCTTCTGCCACCCGGGCACCTGCGAGCCGCAGATGAGCCTGCTCGCCCCTCCCCACACTCTGGGCCCGAATGCTTGGAACGTGTGGGACCCACAGGCACAAGTGCCCTTGGAAGCGCGGGTTGCACTGAGGCAGGCCTCCTGGGGCTCCGGCCCTGTCCCTGGGCCTGGGGGCCAGGAATGCGGCTTCTCCCATGGGAACCGAGAGTGCAGGGAGCAGGAGGACACTCTCTGGGGCCCCTCTGCCCCCAGGCCCGGCCTGTCCTCTGGCCCTGAGCCCCCAGGGCTCCTCTCTGTGCCTGACCCCGCCCCCTCTGCACCAGGCCTGCTGGTAGGGAGTCTGCCACTCCCTGGCCCCAGCCCTAGGGCATGTGCCTTGCTTCACGGGCACCCGAGCCTCTCTGCATCCCTCCACACCAGCGCTGGTCCTCCTCCTGGGGAGCCTGCTGCCTCATGTGCCAACCCTGCTGGATCAGGGGTGATTCAGGGCAGGCACATATGCCCGACGCCCGTCAAGGAAGGTGCCGTGTGGGCATGGAAAGCTCTGTGAGGCCTGGCCACAGGGCTGGGACTACAAACTAGCCGAGATCACCAGGCGTGGGGCGTCCCAGGATGGCATCTAGCAGGGCCGCTCCCTTCCTAGGGAGGAGGCGCAGACACTTGCGGGTGCCTACGGTGCTGCACGGGTGGCCGGGGCTCTGGCTCCGTGACTCACTGGAAGGCCCCCATCTCTACCTCACCCGTGGTGGCCATGGGAAGAACAAGGTGCCGCCGGCGGGATGCCAGCACTGGGCTGCACTGCTCGGCCGGGCAGGGGCTGGCCCGGGGCATCCTGGGACGAGAGTTTCAATGTCTGCACCGCTTTTGCAAATGTGCATTTTGTACAATATCACACAGATGAAGATGTGACTGGGACTTAGGCCCTGTCCAGGGAGCCTGGCGACTGGCCAAGCCCGTCCCGTCTGGGGCTTGGTGTCAGGGACCAGGCAGAAAGCCCAGCGTCCAGCACTAGAGGCGTTACCCGGGCAGCAGTGGCCCCGACACTGCTGTTGGCCCCCAAAAGGGGTGTGAGACATACAGGGGACCCTGGGACCAGTGCTGGTGGGAGGATGGGAGCAGAAAGGCAGGGGGCAACCTTGGCACCGCCTCAGTCAGCAAAATCAGAAAGTGTGGAGGGAGGGAAGGAGGGGGCAGCAGGCCTGGGACCCCACTTCCTGACACCAGCGTGGTATGACACCCCCTGGGACCCCAAGGTACAAGTAGACCGTACGCCCTCACAGGCAGTGACGGTGGCCTGACCATCAGACCTGCAAAGGAAAGCCGAGTACCAACCGAGATCCGGGCCATCGGTGCTCCTGGAGGAAAGGTGACTGACTCCAGAGAGGGCGCATGCGGGGAGGGGCCTGGACACAGGAGGACCTGGCCGGAGCCCCGCGGAGGGACCCCTGCCCCTACCATGGTGGCCTGGCCCAGGCAGCCGGCTCAGGCCCAGGCTGAGCCCGCCCAGCAGAGGCCTCTGTCCGTCTCTCACCACTGTTACGTTCAGAGAGCCAGATGGGCACCCAGTACCCTGCACGAGGCAGGGCCGTCCTGGGTCACCCTGCACCTCTGCCACTGTCACCTGTCTGAGAAATGACACGGGGCAGGTGGAGGTGGCCGAGAGGGCTGGCGACTGGACACCACCTCCGAGTGAGGAAGTCAGGCTGGGGTCGGGGAAGCTGTCCCTGGAGGCCCAGGCCACCCAGATAGGGGGCAGCCAGTGATAAGCTAGGACTTGCCCCTTCCCGGACAGGGCAGCTTCACCCATGGACTCCTCCCTGCCTGACCCTTTTGCCCCATGTCCCCATGTCCCCTGCCCTTGTCCTCCCGAGCGCTGGCCCTTCGCGGTCCTTCTGTGTACCAGGGGTGCTGCTCCAAGGACAGTGCAAACAGGTGAAGGGGAGGAAAAGGTGAGAGGAGGAGGACGGGACAGACACCTGTGTCCGCAGCAAGGGACAGCAGGCAAGCTCCGGAGAGGCAGCTGAGGGGAGCAGGAGCTGGCTGTCTGGGAGCTGTGCTGAGGAGGGTCAGCCCTGAGCCTACAGGACGAGGACTTCAGAGGCGAAGAGTGGGCAAAGGCAGCTGGGAGCCGCAGCTCTGAATCTATGGGAGACCTGGCCTCTGCGTCCACCCAGAGAGGCGGCTGCTAGGAGGAAGTGGCCATGGGCTGATGGCACTCAGAGTGCCCTGGTGACTGAGGACTCTCGGGACGGGGACAGAGGAAGGGTCTGAGCTCAGCAGGGAACCCAGAGCTGTCCCTAGAGTGAAGCCTGTCCCTCCGCCGGGCGAGGACCACAGCACCTCTCAGGTTAACCCGGAAGAGGCTCAGATCGCTGTGGGGAGCAGGATGAAGCACAGCTCAGCTCCCGCCTCAGCGCCAACCGGAGGGCTGTCCTATCTGCACAGCCACGGAGGATGACAGCCACAGCCCGGGGCACGAGCAGTACCTGGGGATGCGCAGGGCAGGTGCCTGGAGGACACTTTTCTTTAAGCTCAGCACCTGCGCCTGCTGCCTGCTGGCCCTGACGGCCTTCTGCCTGTCTGCCTGGGACCTCAGTGTCCACGCAGCGGCCGTGACCTGGGCTCAGCACAGCCACTCAGCCCATCGCCACCTAACTCTCACTTGGCCCGCTGCTCCCTAGCTCAGTGGAGAGCCATCTGCCCGCTGCCAGGCCTGAGAGCAGCCGCAAGGCTGCAGGAGAAATCTCATGCAGGCTGAGCCCTGCTGTCACGTGCCATGGAGCGGTGTGGCCAAAGGGGCAGGAGCAGGCGTGGCCCGGCATTGGTGGCGAGGGGGCCATGCAGAGCTGAGAGCCAGGCCGAGCCGCAGCAGGCAGCACGGGGCGGCCACTTACCAGGGAGCCACGCTTGTACTGACTATACCAGGTAGAGGGCCGCTCTTTGGGCCAGCGGGCCATTTTACTCTGCAAGATAGGAGACGGGCGCATTTAAAGTGACAACCGCTGGGGACGGAGGGGCCACCTTACCAGTTTACCACGCTTGAATTCACTGAACCAGGAACCCGGGTTTTCTTTGGGCCAAGAAGTGATCCTGGCCTACACATGGCGCAGGCGTGGTGGGAGGGAGAGAAACAGAAAAGGAGAGGGTTACTTTCCCGGCTTCCACCTGGACACCCGGTCCCCTGGTCCCTATGTCCTGCCAAGCGACCTCTGCCTCCCTGCCACAAAGACCAGAGGCTGCCCTGGGTAACAAGAGCGCCAGGCCGCCTGGAGCCAGGCCAAGTGCCCGGGTCCCAGCAGGACCACACGTGGAGCTGGGCCAGTGCTGGCAGGGAGTGCGGGACGCCTGAGGGAGGTGACCAGCTGTGTCAGCGCTGCCGAGAGGCCAGGCTGTCTGGCTGCTCTCTTCTTACACTCACTCCCTAGGGGCACGGTGCACTCACCACAGCCACCGCCTGGGGTGTGTGTGTGTGTGTGTGTGTGTAGCACCTCACCTCTGAGGCTGCTCTGCCCTGACAAGGAAACAAAGCTGAAATTACAGGGCCCAGAGGGCTTGGTCACATGACAGCCTCTGCCCCCTGGATCCCTCAGGACCAGGCAGTTGCATGGGCTCAGGGACACTGGGGGTGAAAGGACGGCATCTGAGCAAGGGCCACGGCTGGGAGGTGAGAGCCACCGGGGCCCACGGCCCCGCCTGGCATGCATAGGGCTGGCGGGGGCTGTGCTCAGGAGCCAGGCCCCAGGGGCTCACGAGGAGACAGGGGTCTGAGTCCTCATCTGCTGAGCCAGGCTGTCTCGGCGGAGCATGGCAGGAGCCAGGGCGGCAGAAGGCGACCGCTAGAGGACAGGCAGCAGCCAGATGCCTGCCAGAGACTACGCTCCCTCCTGTTTCCAGAGCTGCCGCCTTCAAGGGTGATGTTCCTCGGCCAGAGAGTGGCACAGGCAGGCTTCACCCCAGACACCTGCTTCACCAGCTCCCAAGAGGCCTGGTGCCCAGAGTCACCAGAGACAGTAGTTTCCTTTCACTCTGGGCCGAGGGCTGGCCCAGCTCACAGGCACCTGCTGGTCCACGTATGTGGAAGAGAGCGAGGAGCCGGGGTGTGTGTGGGGAGGGTACTTCAGAGCCCGGCTCGGTACTGTGCACGCCAGCAGTGGCTCTCCGGGAAGCCTGGGCTAGCGTGTCTGTCCCGAGGCCACCTGCAGAGGGCACAGAGTGACCAGAGGGCAGGGAGGTGTCTTTCCCATCTGAGTTCTGTTCTAGGCCTCTGGAGAGATGGAAGGAAAAGATGAGGCCCTGGGCTTGGAGTCTGGTGAGCTCATCGGGACAGAAACAGTCAGGAGGAGGATAGGAAGGATTGGGGTACAGGAGCCCACAAATCTTCCCGCTCCTGCTGCTGCCAGCTGGCGCCCGACCCACGGGGGTGCCAGTGCTTATGGAGTTCACAGCGTGCTTTAGAGGCTAATGTGGCCCCTGGGGAGGACCACACTGCTCTCTCGCTCTCGCTCCCTCTGGCAGGAAGCTGCTCCTTGGGCAACAGGCTACTGACTAGATGAAAGGACCCCCAGGAGCCCCAGTGAGCCTCAGAAAACAGCCAGGGCCATGACAGTATCTGTCTACACACCTCAACTGGATTCTTGGTTACCTTCTCAGGTAATGGGGCTACCTCGACCTTGTCCATGACCTGGGATGCACTCGACACCCCCACCCACACATGCACACACACACGCACACACGCTCGCACACACATGCACACCGCTCGTGCACGCAGCCCCACGAACGCAGACTACCAGCGCAGCGCCGGGCCCGGGAAGGCCATTGCTGTACTTAGCTGGCCCTGCAGCAGACCCTTGCAAGCAAGAGCCCCAATCCTGCCCCCAGCTCTTTACTCAAGCAGCTTGAAGACAACGCGGGGCAGTCAGGAACCTCAAGCAAGTCCTGGGGAGTAAGCTGCTCCAGAATTCAGGCCCTTGGCAGCTTTCAGGAAATGCCTCTAGCTTGCTTCTTTATCCTTCGCAGCTTTGGGCAGGCCCCAGGCTGGGAGCACAGCTGAGCTCCAGGAAAGGCACGGCCCAGGGCTGGGAAGCCTCCCTGGGTCGGTGCCGACAGCAAGCAGCGCTAGCCGGCCACCCCCCACACTAACCGGCCCAGCTCTCAGGCCTCCCCAGCGAATCTGCTGGTCAGAGAAGCTCTGCACAGAGGAGGCCCTGCGGGTGCAATGGTCAGCTCCTGGCCTTCGCCTTTGGTTACACTGTGCATGTGAGATGTTGAGGCCAGCCAAGGCCCCAAGGGTACTCACCCCCTCCGATTTCTTGTCTGGGAAGATGCAGGTCGACCCTCCCGCTGTGAAGTTGCAGTAGACTTTAAAGGAGTCCCGGGAGCAGCCCTGGTTGGGGTCCACCCAGTATTCACCTGCAGCACAGAGGCAGGAGGCTGATCAGAAAGCTGCGCCTGGATGCTCGGAGCACGGGGACACCACAGTCTTGCATTTAAGCGCATGTGGTGGAGAGCATCGGGGCCTTCCCTAGGCTCCCTTCCCTGCACTCGCCTCCGCCTTCAAGGCCCATCAAGGGGTGAGGGGTGCGGACAGACCCATAAACACAACCGCTGTGGGGAGCAGCTGCCTAGGGGCCCAGGGCCGGGTGGGGACAGAAAGGCAGAGGACGCTCAGAACGCACTCCGGAAGCTCATGCATCTGGGGGTGAGTCTGCCGACCCATGGTGTCCCCCCGGCACCGAGAGGACTGCCCTCTGTCCCAGCGCCAGATCAGCAGCCAATGCAGTTCTGTCCCATAGGAGTCTGGCCTGAGCACTGTGACAGCCAGACTGAGTGGCCCTGTCCAGCGGCCCACATTTAAAGCATCTAATATGGATCCTGTCATGGTCTGTGTCCAGGTGTCCCTGCAAAGCCTCATGCAGTCATCAGGGCGGCTTCTAGAGTTGGTGGTTAATTCATGATCCAATGCTGGCATGTGGGTGTGGGTGCTGCACCCGCCTGAATGCAATATCAGGGAGGGAAAGAGGCTCGCTCACTGGGGCAGCCATGGCTCCTCCCTTCGCTCTTTGCTGCCATGAACGGCTGCCCTCTGCCACGCGCTGCTCTGCCTTGGAGCCAGCTGAGTACGGACTGAAACCTCCACTAACTGTGAGCTAAATAAACCTTTCCTTCCTTCATTTTGGGTGTCGGGTATTTTGTCCAAGCAACTAGAAAAAGTATCTGAGACAGATCCTGACCCCGACCCACGTGGGGCTGGCCAAGTGCCAGGCCGAGGGCACTGAGCCCCTGCCCATCTGCCTGCCCTCCCCCACAGCAGTTCCTGTCCCATCTACAGGGCAAGGACAGTGAGCCAGGCAGGTCCAGAGAAGTGAGGCCAGGTCTGCTTGGCCTCGGAGTCCAGCCTCTGCAGACCACTCGACCTGCCGCTGCCGTGAGTCACTGAGAGCCGTGCACCCTCCAGCCCCAGGACAGTGGGGGTGAGGAGGTGGTGTTGCCCACCCAGCCCCAGGCACAATGCGCTGGCCCGGCCCTCACCATCAGGGAAGTCGGGGTGGCAGAGCTGCAGGTCCTTGCAGGTGCGCGCGGGGTTTTGCTGTGTGCCCAGCGGCCGCTTCATCTGCTCGATCTCCAGCTTCAGTGAATTGAGTGAGCCGAAGATTTCCTCCATGCCATCAGCGTAGTCCATGTAGTTCTCGCCTGCTGCATCATCCAGCAGCTGGCTGGCATCGATGTTCCGCCGCGTCCGAGAAGCCTGGATCGGCAGGGGCTGGATGACCTCGCCCGGAGGGCCCTGCGTGCGGGAGGGGCGGTGGTGGGCGGGACAGGCCACAGCTGCAGGCCTTCCGCGCACCTGGTCTGTCCTCTAGCCTTAGCTGGACAAAAGGCCAGGCTTCGGGGGTGACCGGAGCACCCTTCTGACTCCACAGCTTCCCCGGGGCCAAACCCAGTGGGTGCTTGGGTGGAGGGTGTGGCTCCCCCTGGGAGGCCCTGCCGCCACAGGATGGGGTCCGGAGGCCGGAAGACCACAGGGGCGTCCTGCACGGTACTCACTGCACCTCAGCACACGAGAGCTTCCCCTGCACCTGGGGCCTGGGCTACTGCTCACCTGACACGTACACATGCATGCGCGGCACACACACACACACACGTGAGTGTGCATTCACATGTATACACAGGCAAACGTGTAAGTACATAAGCGGGCACACATGCGTATGCGTATACATACACAGATAAGCACATGTGCATGCATACGTGCATGTACATGACACACACACACACACACACACACACACACACACACACACGTCCTCTCCCTCCCAACCGTGCTTCCCAGGGCAGGCCTGCCGTGAGGCCAGGGTAAGCAGGCCAGGTGACTCATTTTCCCCTCCTGTGTCTCAGCCATCCCAGTCAGGCCAGACGGGTCTGACGGTTCGGGCAAGTGAGACCCGCAGACAGACATGCCCCAGAGTCTCCCCTCCCACCCCCCGCGTCCATGGCTACTCACTGGGGGCCCGGGGATTCCTGGCTGGCCTGCCTCACCCTTCGGGCCGGTGGGACCCTGGGGAGAGAGAAGCAGCACTTGGTCACCATGGGACGAGAGGTGCTGTCAGTGCCCCTGGGCTCCAGAATGGGCCTGGAGCCCGCTCCGATGGGGCAGGGGTGTGGCACGCCTCTTCCCTCCTAGAGGGCTGGGGGTACCGAGAGATGGCACCGTCTAGTGCAGGGAGCTGCAGCACAGCCCACTCCGAGTGACAGGGGCAGCATAGGAGACGCTTCTCAAAAGAAGTTCAAAGACGAACAGATGTAAGAAGAGGCGCTCAGCTTCATTAGCTCTTCTCCCGCTATGCCAGTGGTTCAGATATGGAACTGGCAAAGATTCCCGCCAACGGGCACGCGGGTGAAGAGAGCGGGGCTCCCCGGGCCGAGCACACACAGCAGAGCGCTGCCCGGCCTTGCGCGGAGCTGGGTGGAACAGAAGGATGCTGGGTAACAGGAAGGAAGGATGCCGGGTAACGTGGGGATGTGCGGCAGGCCCTGGTCACCAGAGGCCAGGCAGGGCAGGAGGAGGAAGGGGGGCCTGGATGACGGGAGCCGCAGCAGCCAGACAGCAGCAAGCCCCGAGTCCACAGCGTGCGGCCCTGAGCCACCCGCTGCTCGCTCAGACAGCCAGAAGTGAGGAAGGACCGACACGAAGTAGTGGGAGCCGGAGGCAAGTGTCAGTGACCCGGAGTTGGCAGGAGACACCACACCCGGGTCCTGAAACACAGCCCTGGGCCCCCCACTGCGTACAAGCACTGCATGTTAATAAAAAATGTAAAAAACAAAGAACCACTGAAGGACACAGAAATGCTTACTACCTCCTTAGACCGTTACTCATTCTAGATGCAAATCAAGTTACCGCCCTCCCCATAAATCTGTATGGTTAAAATAATTTTTAAATCCAGCAAGTGGAACACTAGCATTTTTGTTTTTCAAAAAAGTATGTAATATTAAAAATAAAGACCATCAACAATGCATCACAGAATAAGAGAGAGAGAGAGAGAGAGAGAGAGAGAGAGAGAGAGAGAGAGAGACAGGAGGAACCAGGCGGGACTCCTGCTCTCGGGGCGGGCTGGTGTGTCCCAGGCGACGCTGTTCTACCCACCCCTCCGGTCAGGGACACTTACCGAGGAGCCTTTAGCACCTTTAGGACCTGGCGGACCCTGCAGGGAGCAGAGAGAAGAGGGTTAGTCGGCAGAGCCCCACCCTGCCCAGGTTCCTTAGTGTGGTCCGAGTCCCCCACTGACAGGGGCCTCCTGGGGCCGTGTGGGCCTGAGGCTGACCAGCTGTGGTGCGTGGAGCCTCCGCCTTGGAACACCGGGTCCCAAACATAAGCACGGCCCAGGCTTGGGTGCTGGGAGGCGCCGACCCTGCTCAAGTGCCCCCACAGCGTCTCACAGACCTCTCCAGCCTCCCCCAACCAAGGCCCCCAATCCTCTTCCTCATTTCTATGACCTGGAGCCCAAACCAACCCAGGCCCTTCCTGTGGGTCTCAGCTGTGACTCTCGTGCCACCCCACCCCACCTTCCCAGATACACACCGGCAGGCCTGGGGGTCCCGGGGGGCCGAGCGGGCCGGAAGGACCAGTGATGCCCTGCAAAGGAGCACAGAGCAGAGATGAGCCAGATTACGAAGACTGGCAGCTCAGCCTCACTTGGGGACAGGCCCAGGGCCCAGGGCGTTGGTCACTTCACAAATCCGGTGACCCTCCAGCCTAGAGTCTTCTACCAGCAACGTGGCCCAGATGACAGTGGAGCTGGACATGGGAGGGGCCAGGTGTACACGGAGGGCTTTCCTTTGGGCAGTGGGGAACCTGCTGTCTAATTCACTGAGCCACAAGGCACAGAGCCACCTGGGTTCAGGAGTGCAGCCAGGGCCACGAGTACCACGCACCCCCAGCCCCAGGGCTTCCGTGGCTCCTGCTCTACCCTAGTCCATCTCCTTCAGGCCCAGGGTACTCTGGAAGGGCACACTGGCACAGTGGGATGAGCACCCTCGCCCCACCCAGGGGAGCATAGTGTCACACGGGTGTCTCCCCTTCCAGGCCCTGGTTCCCTCCCTCGGCCCTGCCCTCCTGTTCCAGCAGCAGGAAGCTGCAGGATGAGGCTGCCAACCCCCAGCAGCCACGCAGTCTTGGGGAAGTGCAGAGTCTGCAGGGCCTCGACCTCGGGGTGCAGGGCACAGAGCCGCTGCTCTGCCGTGAGGCACACAGGTGAGCGTGGCTGCCAGCTGCCCGAGACTTCTGAGCAGCGAGCTAGAGCTCAGGCTCTGGTCTGCGGGGGCACGGGGACAGATCTGGACAGATCTGAGGGCCCAGGGCAAAGGGGCATCTGCCTGCACGCAGGGTGCAGGGCCGGGACAGCACCTGGGCCAGCCCAAGTCCCCCTGGGCCCCAGGGTCCTCCTGGGTGCTGTGGTGGGAGAGATGCTCTCTGGGCGGCTTCAGCTCAAATACCTGTTCTCCTTTCGGGCCAGACGAGCCCTGGGGCCCCGGCAGGCCTCGGTCACCCTTTTCTCCCTGCTCTCCAGGTGGGCCAATGAGCCCAATCAGGCCAGGGTGTCCCTGTTGGAACAGGCAGGAGTGAGGGCTCGGAGCCGGGTGGAAGGGGCAGCAGCAGGCCAGCACAGCGATGACCGCCCTTCCTGCCTTCACCAAGGAAGCCTCAGAGAGGGGCGAGAGGCCACGGAGCGCCGAGGGTCCCCAGCTTGGAGAACAGCGGCGCTTCGCAGCCTCCTCCGGGCATGGCTGCCCAGTTCACCCAATGTTTGTAAAGGAATCAATGGAAGCAGGAAAAAATCCACACCAAGTAATAAAATCCAGGACCTTGCTGTCACAGAGCTCAGTGCACCAGCGCGGGATGTGGCCCTGGGTCCAAAGCAAGGACCACTCTGGAGTCCCCACGGCCCTCGCTGGGACCTTGTGCCCAGTGGGCAGTTCCAGGTGCCCTGAGTCCTTCAGGCTGCAGATCAACAGCTCTCGGAGCGTGGGACAAAGGCCAAGGGCCGCACTTACCTTTTCACCTTTGGGTCCAGAATCTCCTTTGAGCCCGGGCAGTCCTGGGGGACCCTGCACGAGGAGACAGAGGGGTCAATACCAGAGTCCCAGGGCTTCCTGGTGCCACCTGCCCCTCCTGAAGTCCCAGGGACATCACTCACCATGGGGCCGGGTGGTCCATCCGGGCCTGGGGATCCGGGGAGACCCTGTTCTCCCTGAAACACCAAGATCCTCTGTGAGAGACCATACCAAGCCCTGCCCCCGGTCCTCCGCCCCTCCCAGGCCCGCCTGAACCCCCTTACCACAGGGCCAGGGATCCCGCGCAGGCCGTCGGGGCCAGGCTTCCCTGGGGACCCCTGCGGGCCAATGGGGCCAGTCTTCCCAGGAGGGCCTTCCAAGCCAGCTTCTCCCTGTGGAGGGTGGACCACATGCTTGGGGGTTCAGGGCACCTGGCCCAGGCAGGACTCCTGATGGGATGCCCCAGAGGCCAATGCTGCACCCACAAATCTTATCTTGCTGAGCAGGCCAACCACCGCCAGGCTGCTGACGGCCAGGGGCATGCCCAGTGCACACGGCAGCACGGGCCCGAGGCCTCACGTCGGAAGTCTCGAGGTCCCGGAATCCTGCACCTTTGGCCTCGCCGGCTGCACTGATGGGGCCCGGCTTCCCAGACCACCCCCCTCCAACCCCTGGCCAGGATCAGGGCAGCCCCTCTGCCCGCTACTCCTGCCCTCGCCCTCCTGAGGTCCACACACAGCCGCGGGCTGGGCACGAGGCGCTCACCTTGGCTCCCTTCTCTCCTTGTCTGCCTTCAGGGCCTGCGGGGCCTGGGGGGCCCTGGAACAAAGATGAAGCCAGATGATGAGCTTAGGGGACCGGGAGTGGTGGGGCAAAGGCGGGGTGCGGCTGGGGTGTGGGGCAAGAGGCCTCGGGGAACAGCCAACGTGGATAAAGGCCTTGCAGGCCCTGAGTCCCAGGACCAGGCCACCAGCCAGGCTCTGCGCAGCATGGGCACATGCTGGCCGCCCCGAGAGCTGCCCCTTCTGGCTGGGCCCCTAGTGTTCCCTTCGGGCAACTCCAGCCAGTGACCCTCCTTCTGACTACGAGAGTCTGGCCAGGGAGAGGAGAGTCTTTGCTCAGTGGTTGCTTTACTCCGGATGGATCTGACAGTGTGGGGCCCACAGGCCTGGCACTGGAGCCAAGGCAGGAGGCCGGGGAGCGCCCAGCCCACACAGCGGCTCCTTCCTCAGATGTGGAAGGTGCCCAGGGCCAGCTGGGGGCAGGGGGCTTTGTCATGGGCGCTCTCGGCCAACTCACCCGCTTTCCCGGTGGTCCGGATGGACCAGGCTCTCCAGTGGGGCCGGGAGATCCCTGGTACGGAGAAAGGACAGTCAGCAAGGGGTCTGCAGGCGGAGGAGCCCTCCTGGGAGGCGCAGGCTCACATGGCCTCCCTCTGGGTGTCCTGGCCAGCTGTGCGTGGGCTCCCGAAGCCGTCACACTGTGCCCCGCAGTGGCCTAGCCAGGAATCTGGATGCCACCCAAGCAGGGCAGAGCCCTTGTCCCCCACACAAGGACTGTCTCCGTCCCTACCCCCAGGACCCCACTGGGGAGCTGTCCTTAGCATTGCCAGTGACTTTGGGGTGAGAGCTGGTGCCACACTGAGGGTGCAGGCTGGGCGGTGGGAGCCAGGAATGGCCACCAGCGACCCCAGCCCCAAAGCAGGTACCCAGGTGCATTCTGGGTCGGGCACGGGGCTCGTGGCCTGGGAGCCCTGCTCGGGTCTGAATCCCCCCCCAGCATTCAGGCTGCCATCCACAGGGACGAAGGGTGGGGCTTTGTAAGGGGCTTAGGACCCGCAAGTTCTGCCTCAGGCGTTGAGCAAGGCCGTTACTGTGGGGGGCGCGGGTCACCTTCCTCCCTCGCCTTCTGCCACACTGCAGCCCCTCAGCCTTGGGCTTCCTGGCCCCATGGACGTGGGTCATGAAAACTCCCGTCTGTCACTCACGCTGCCTGCAGCTTTTCATTACAGCAATAAGAGAAAGACCAAGACAGGTGCAGTCAGCAGCTCCCTGCAACCTGGGTGTGGGGCGGGGGGATGCCAAGGCAGGGGCTGCCCCCAAGCAGAACACTGCCCTGGGCCCCATGGGATGGGTCGGTGCCCACGCTGAGCGGAAGATGCAGGGTGTGCCACGCTCTCCACCCTGAGGCAGGGGCTGAGGCCCACCAGGTAGCCACATGGGCTGGTCCTGACACACAAGAGCCACGTGCAGAGCCACGGCCAGCACTGGACACGCCTCCTTTCCTCCTCCTGTCCGCAGCTTTCATCAGCCCTCAGGGCTCTCACGAGGCCCCGTCACAGGCAGGAGTCACCTTGTGAGGGAACCAGGCCGGCTGCGAACCCCAGGGAGGGGGCCACGTGGACTCACCGTCTGTCCAGGTTCACCATCATCTCCTTTGTCACCAGGGGGACCGTCTTGACCCTGGGAGGAGACAAAACAAGTTGCTGCCTGCCTCCCAGACAGAACCCTACACCCAGCCCAGCCCCCGCACATCCCCAGGCCCTCCCTGAAGATGATGTGTCTGGGTGCAGGCACTCGGCCCAGACATGGGGTACATGGTGGAGTAAGCTCTGCGCCCAGACAAGAGCACAACCAGAAGGAATCAGCAGGAAGGGAAGAAGAGATGGGGTCCGGAACAGAAAGCCGGGGCTGCGGGCCGGCACAGTACCCGTCTCGAGTACCTACCGCAGGGCCGGGCTCTCCAGGGGGGCCAGGATCACCAGGAAAACCTACTGGGCCCTGGAAAACAGGAAGAGGGGCAGGCTGGGCTGTGAGCAGCTGGCCGCACCCCTGCCCGGGCCAGCACTGCCCAGGACCCTGCTACTACCTGGCTTCAGGCTAGGACAGCCCCGACACCAGGGCCCCCCAGCTGTGGGAACCCCCAGGGCCTAGGAAAGCACTGCCAGCCCATGCCCAGGGGACTGCACAGCCGCCACCTGGCAGGAGTGGCCCGGGGAGCAGGGGCCCCATGCCGCCCCACTGTCTGTGGCATTGCTCACAGGACTGCCTTTGGGGCCGTCATCTCCCGGAGGGCCTTTGGGTCCAGGGGGTCCGGCAGCTCCCGAGGGGCCGGCCTCTCCCTTCTCTCCTCTTTCTCCTTTAGGTCCCTGGAGGGGAGGGAAGAGGCAAGGTCAGACCTTTGAGCTCCCACACACTCACCTAAGGGGGCCTCGCTGGGGACAGCCCCTGCCCGGCACCGGCTGAGCCCACGGGGACAGCGAGGGCCAGGGAGGCCACCGCTCTACCTTCCTGCAGGTGCCTGCCACGTGCAAGCTTCCGGGCCAGGAGCCCCTGGCTGGCTGGGGCCTGAACGGCCAGGCTCCACTCTGCACCGGGCAGCACGCGTCACCTCACACATGCTCAGCCCTGAGAAGCTGTGTGTGTGCAAGCACACACAGACCCCCGCCACATGCCCTCCTCAGGCCACACTTCTGTGGCCTCAGTCTGCACTGCAGGCTTAGAGTATTCCAAGTCACCGAAGTGTGCAGAGGTGTGGGTGAGCCAGTGACAGCCACATCAGTGCCCTGTGGGGACCCAGCCCACCCACGCAGCCCACACACTCACCAGAGGGCCCCCTTCTCCTGGAAGGCCAGGCTCGCCAGCTTCGCCGGGCTCCCCCTGGGAAGACAAGGCTATTGTCACCAGGGGTCACCCAGGGACAGGGATAGCTGCTGCAGCTGTCAGCACTGCCCAAACCAATCTGCTGCCTTCAGGCACCAGGGACCCGAGGCTGCAGGTCATCTCTGTCTCTGGATAAGACCACAGACATCAGGGTAGTGCCACAAGGAAGGGGCCAGGCAAGGGCACAGGTAGGGGTGCCAGGTGGCAAGGGACACTGGGGAAGGGACACGTGCAGGAGGGGGGGGGTCTGACAAACTTGGAGAAGGGGCTCGGATTACAGGCAGGGGAGTTGCATGGTGCCCTCAGGAGGGGGCAATGAATGAAGGGTGCCAGGCTGCCGGGAGGGGTGCCAGGCTGAGGCCCCGCCCTCGGGGCTGCCCCCCAGTTCCACACGTGTGCCTGGGCAGCTCTGTCAGCGTCAGAGCCTGGCATGGGCAGGGAACCGAAGGCCCAAATGTGTCCTCCTTCCCTCCACAGCTGCACTCTGGGCCTGAATGTGAGCACTCCACACCACTCCTGGTACACACGCGCGTGCACACACACCTGTGCTCGGCCGCAGGCCTGTCAGGCACCCTTAGTGGCCTCCAGGGCCCAAGGGCTATAACCTCGGAGACTGCTGAGCCGCGGCCCCTCCAGGAGGCGGCAGGGACCCCAAGGCTCATCTGGGATAGGGCGTCCTGCTGAAGGCCGTCCTGCTGGGCAGCCAGAGACGCGATCCCAGTACAGGGATACCGACTCCTCAGTGGCAAAACACACGGGTGGAATTTGCCCTTGTATGTCCACCCATGCGTGAGCACAGGAGTGCACACGGGTGCACACTGTGCACACAGGCCCAGGCACGCACATGCATGTACACGTGGGCACACAAGTTTTACCCAGGGCTGTGCTTAGACACACACACACACACACACACATACACACACACACACACACGCGTGCGCATCAGCCACATCACAGTGTGGCCACATCACGGTGGACACCTCACCTTCTCACCCACGGCGCCAGGATTCCCAATTCCACCAGGAGGCCCTTGAGGCCCGTCAGCACCTGGAGCTCCGGATGGTCCTCGGGGGCCAGGGGGACCGGGCGGGCCCTAGGAGGAGAGGCCATGAGCCCTGGGGAGAGGCCTATCCTCCCAGTGCATAAATGGGCAGCCACGGCTGGGTCTTGTGGCCTGGCCACACTTACCATCTGGCCCACGTCTCCTGTCTCGCCCTTTTCACCCGCAGGTCCGGGCAGGCCCTGCAAACAGGAGTAGGGTTAGGTGCTGCGCAGGGAAATCCACACTGATGGCCACCTCCACCTCCAAGATGCCGTGGACGTCCTAATAAGCTTCCCCACTCAAGTCTGCCCTAGCTTGGGAACATGCCACACCACAATGCTAGGCTCAGAATTAGCTGGAGGACATAATTAGAGAAGAATGCGAGATTTATGGACAACAGGGCTTATGGCAGTGCCCCATAAAACAATAAACCTAATGAGCCAGCAGCCTGGAGACGTCTGGTTAAGTTATGTCTCCACCATACGCCGAAACGCTGCACAGTAACTAAAAATTGCGTCTTCCAACATAAACAGCCGTGGGTCCCGAGAATATCTAATGGCATCCAAGGCCTCGTAACATGACGGGAAAGGCCGGCACAAAGCTTCTGTCTGGGATATGATGAGATGTGGATTTTCAAGCGCCGCACTCGATCACCTACACACTGCGTGAGCGCGTGCGTTCAATGGCCGGCAAGCGCACGGCACAGCAGCCCGGTTCCTAGGTGGTGCGCTTAGGAGCGGATGCCTGCTTCCTTTCCTCAAAGCCAAGCCTCCCATTTCTAGGAGGCGCGTGGAGACCCCCGGGTGGGTCTGGACCCCTGAGAGCAGTGCCACTTCCACTTCCTGTCACCCAGCCTGCGTCCCCACTCTTGAGAGGCAGGTGTAGGTGACCCAGCCAAGCAAGGGGGCCTCTGCAGCAGACCCCACCCAGGAACAGCCTGCGGTTACCTGGAGCCCCACGGGCCCTGGCGGCCCAGGGAAACCTCTCGAGCCTTCGTCTCCCTTCTGTCCAAAGAGGCCCTGCTGTCCACGGGGGCCTGGCTCCCCGTCTGCACCCTGTGGGGACAGAACTGAGCTGAGGCCCAGCAGCAGCTTGGGGCGGGGGGCTTGGGTCTTGCTGGGGCCACCGGACAGAGATACTCACGGAGGGGCCTGGCTGTCCAATGGGGCCTTGAGGACCCGTGGGCCCGGGGGGACCCTGCAGGAACGAACAGAGACTCAGGCTGCTTGCCGGGTCACAGATGCGGTGGAGTCCCCGAGTGGTGATGGCTCAGGGCAGGGGTGACCCACCTGAGGTCAGTCCCCAAATGTGTGACTCCTGCCCCCCCAGGAAGACACTGAGTCGGCCCAGCAGGGAGGGGACTTCCTGCCTGGCTGACCACAGAGCACCGGCCTGAGCCTCGCAGCCACCCGCTCCCCTGCACAGCCCGTACCTGCTCGCCTTTGTCCCCCTTGCTTCCTTTCTGTCCGGGCTCCCCGATCTCTCCCTGGGGGCAGAGGAGAAGGACACTGTTAGGCACTCGGCGACCTTGAGTACTTGGTATTCTCCACGGCTACTTTTCCATGGACACTAACAGCCAGCCTTTAGAGCACTACGACCTCCCCAAGAAGAAATGTTTCCATCCATTTATTTGATTTCCTTTCAGATACAGGGGCTGGAAAGCCTGAGGTACAGATCTGATGCCGTACAGAACGTCCACTGGCATGACAAGGTGGACGTTCTGTCCCCCCACCGGAGAGGTGACTCAGTCAGAACGGACACCACAGAGTTGTCATCGGGGACAGTTAAGCCCGAGAGCTAAGTCTTGCTGTCTTCATTAAATGGAGTCCAAAACGCAAGCTCGGCAGTAAGTGCTTCGGATTATAAAGTGCGCTCCTCACGTAACAGAGCCGTGGTAATTCTAGGGAGGATGTTTAAGGATAGCTATTGAGTAAAACCTCATCAAACCCAGCTCCGCAGATGCAGAGTCTGGAATACTGAGAAAGGAGCAGGGGGACTGCTCTCTTCCCTGGCAGCTCACAGCACCAGTCCTGGGCATCACCAAGACCACCGGCAGCAGCGTGGTTTCCGTGCTCCCTCGAGCAGGCCAGAGATCTGGTTCGTTGCTGTTTCTTTCCGGGCTGCTGAGCACCAGGGCTGCAGTGTGGCAGGGTCCCCTGCGACCCAACTCCCTGGGCCGGGTGTGTCCTGCTGTGTAAGGCTCCCGCCAGTGCTACGGCCTCCTTACCTTATCTCCGTCTTCACCAGGGGGCCCCACAGGGCCAGCAGGGCCTGGAAGCCCCACAGGACCCTGGAGCCCGTCTCGGCCAGCCGGGCCTTGTGGGCCTTTCTCGCCCTGGAGAGCACAAAAGAGCCCTGGTCAACTAAGGCTTTGTTGCAGGAACATCCTACTGCTAGCAGCCCTCTGAGAGGGCTGTGGGCACGAAGCTGGGCACCAGCAGGGGACACCGAGGGCCGGCTCTGCCCAGCCCTGTGCTGTGAGAGGCTGGTGCACCACTGCGATTAACCCACATGCATCAGCAAGGGCTGCTTGTCAGGTGGGGGGAAACAGCCACAGCCAGCAAACACCAGAGCCAGGACCCCAATTCAGCCCACTATGTGGGGGCCACCTGAGCAAGAGACGTGGGGCCCCGCAGAGTGACCGGGCTGGCCTGGGCTCCAGCTGCTTTACCACAACGTTCTGTAAACACCCTGTCTGTACAAACACACACATCTATGTATACACACACATGCATACACATACACATACACACACAGAGGCATGCACCCGGATGCTTGTCTGTACATGCATTCTCACGTGTGTCCCTTCCACACACACACACACACCTGCACACACAGGAACAGCCTAAGCACAAGCCTCACACCCATGTACGTGAACAGGCACCGATATGCAGACAGGTACACAGACAATGCACACCCAAGCACAAGAGCAGAACACACACTCAGCGTGCACATGCACACCTGAGCCCCTCCTGTCCGCCATCTGCACGACTCCTCACCACCTCATGACCCCCATCACCCCTTCCTCAGGTCCTCCCTCACTCAGCTTTACCAGCCACACCGTCACCCGTGAGGGATGCGCGCCAGCCAGGCACCCCTTCCTCTCACACGCGAAGGACGAGGGACGAGCAGCGGGGAGGGGACAGGGATGGAGATGAACTCAGCCCTTCCTCTAGAGGTGGCCACGTGGGGTCAGGCGCCACCAGCCTGCTCACCCTCTCTGCCTGCCTAATTCGCTCGTGTTTGTGCAAACATCCACCCTGTGGACACCAGGAACCGCCAGCGCAGCTTCCGCCCTACGCAGCGCTCGGGCCAGGTGTGCCAGGCGGCCCTGGCTGCTCCTGACCTGCTGCGTCCTGCAGCTGCTCCCAAGAGCGCAGCTCTTGCATATTCCTGCTTAAATACTTAATGGCTTGAAATGAGGACCCAAACAGATGCCAGCCAAGCTCGGCATTTCCTCATGTCCCGAGCGCTGGAGGGCTCTGGGTTCCCAGCCCCAGAACCCGGTGAATACTGCCCGGGAGCCTCGCTACAAATGGTCGCAGGCCCCTGGAATGGCCAGAGCGAGGGAAGGGGTTCTCAGTGGTAGGGATGTCCCCACACGGGGACCTATGCTTGGGACAGGAGCCAGCTGTCTTTTCACCAGTGAGCCACTGAGCACCCAACGTGCAGGAAGTGGCACCACCCTCAACAGGCGGCCAGCAAGTGCCCGCCTACAGCTGCTACGGGCACACCCGGGAGGAAGGAGTGCATGTGGGGACTCATGGAGACCCGGGTGTCGGCCAGGTGGCTGCGTGGCTGGGCCTCCTCCCACCAGGCCTCAGCGCAGAGGTGCCCCGGCTCGGGAGGAGGCAGCTCCCAGACCGTGTCTCCCTGCCTCCCAGTGCCTGGCCCCACATCACAGGCTGGGGCCACCGCCTTATTAGGAGCATCACCTAGGCCCTGAAGGACCAGTGTGAGGGGCTGTGGGGACAGTGGTCACATAGACCCAGCCCATCTACACTCAGGGGCCAGGCGCCATCAGGTGGGCTGGGACCCACTGTGCAGGTGTGGCAGGTTGGGCCCGTGCCGGGACCCTCAGCCATCGCCTGGCCTGGGGTTGGCCGGTCAGAGCTCCGGAAATGCCTGCCACACACCAAGGGGACCCGGACACCGCACTCACCGGAGCCCCTTTCTCTCCAGCCGGCCCTGGTGGTCCCTGCGGCCCAGGGCGCCCAGGGATGCCGATGGGTCCAGCCGCACCAGCAGGACCTCTCTCCCCCGGAGATCCCTGGATGCGGGGGCAAGAAAGTGTTCTGATTCTCGGCTCTCTGCCCGCAGTGCTGCACCAGTTACACCCACCCCCTCCCCCCGCCACAGCCCTCCCCACGGCTGGCTCCCTACGCCTGTGGTCCAGTACTCAGGCTCTGGCATTCCCTCCTCACAGAACCCCATCCCACCCCACCCAGTGCTGGGAACAGAGCCTCCTTACCTGCCTGTCTAGTGCTCTCCCCCCAGGGCCTGGCACCCACCTTCTGCTTGGGGTCTGCCCACTATGCTCCCTGGCAGAGCAGACTTCCTGGAGGAGGCCTTGTCCCTGGGCATGGGCACCACAGCTAGGGACACCCAGCCTACTGTGGGGTCACATCCGGCTTCCCTGCCATCTCTCATGTGACCCGCAACTCGCCAAGGAAAGAGGCCAGTGATTTAGGGGACACACCTCAGAGCCCATGAGGTCTGTGCCACCCTGGGGGCATCCTTGCTCCCCAGGGAGGGGGCCCAGCATGTGAGATTGTGCCACCCCTTTACTCCACCTGCCACCTGCTCTCCCATGTATGTGGGCTCCGGAACCCTCCACATCTCTGCCACTGGCTCAGGGGACACCGCCTGCAGCCCTGCTCTGCCTTGTCCCCTGCATGTGCCCTTCTAGCTCTTGGGGACCCCTGTCTTATAGCAGAGTGGGTTTTAGAAGGAATGAAGCAGAAGGCTTGGACTCACCGCGGGGCCTGGGGGGCCGGGGGGGCCTTCGTTACCTTTCAGCCCAAGGGCTCCCTGCAGAGTAGGGAGAGGTGGTTGAGGGCGCCAGGGGCAGAGCTTCGGGTCATGCACTGACGCCCGCTGCCCCACACCTGGATCCTCACTTACCACCGGACCAGGGAGCCCTCGGTCCCCAGGGAAGCCACGTAAGCCTGGGGGTCCGTCCTTCCCAGGGAGGCCAACTGGGCCTGGGTCACCCTAGAATGGAGCAGAGACATGCAGTTGCCCACCAAGCACCACACACCACAGACCTCCCCGGCTTCTGGGTGCTGGACAGGGCTCCCCCGCCCCTCGGCGGTCAGAGGGACTCATGGCTTTGGGTTTTGTTTGGCTACTTATTTATTTATTTTTGGTGCTGGGGATGGAGCACAGGGCCTGGTGCACACTGTACCCATTGGGCTGGTTCTGCACAAATCTAGGGTACAGACTCGGGCCCCTCAAATTCTACAGGGCTGCCCTGGGCTCAGCAGGCACTGGGGCTACTTCTGCCTTTCCTGAATACGGGGGGTGGTCACTGAAGCACAGCTCTGAGCAGCTGGAGAACCCTGCGGCCAGCATGTGGCCAAAAGCACTTCCTGAAGGGTCTGAACTTGAAGCCACTGTTTCTTCGGACCGCAAACCACCCTGGCCGAAGAGAGGCACTCTTAGGGCTGTGCTCTTCCTGAGGTACCTTCAAGCCGCAGTACATTCCAGGACGTTCCCCGGGGCCCTTCTAAGAGGACAGGGTCTTAAGGACCCTCAGCACCTTTTCCCAACTCTGTGAGCTCAGTGTCTTGGATAGATAGGTTTATACACACACACACTTGGATGCATTTGGTCACTGTGTGCGTGGTTCCCTATTTCTCAGCTTTACCACTTTCTAAGTTGCTCCTGGGCATGGCCAGCATCTGAAAGGCTCAAAGGCTGGCGAGCCAGACCCGGGAAGGCTGCTGATCTGCAGCTGCACAAACACAGAGGCGGGCGAGACGCCCACCCTCGGCCCGGGGCTCCCCGCAGAGGCTCTGAAACCAGGGCCGTGAGCGCAGCACCAACAGGAGGGGAGAAACCCATTTGTTTCCACTGCTGAAATATGCTGTAAGCCCGTCCTGGTGGGGGAGTCTGAAAGCAGTGCCTTCTACCAGACTTGTCTTGCAGGTACCAAGCACGGCTGTGGCCGGGGACAGAGCTCCCCACAAAGGTCGTATGGCTACACGCCGTCCCCGCCCAGGTCGGCTCCAGCCCTGGCTCCAATGGAGCAAAGATGAAGCTGAATTCATGGCAAGATGAGCCTGAGACGAGGAGCAGGAGAAAGCAGGGGTCCCAAAGGACTCCTTAGGGAAGGGCAGCCTGACACGGATGCTGCCACTCACCTTGGTCCCTTCTTTGCCGGCAACGCCTGGGAGCCCCTGTTCACCAGGAGGGCCGGGAGGCCCAGGGTGGCCGCGCTCGCCCATCGGGCCCGTTTCTCCCGTAGGACCCTGGGGAGAAAATCAGCATTTGCCGCTGGTCATTTTCTAGTGGTCTGCAAAGGAGGGGCTGTGTCCTGCGTCTGAGGATACCCGAGCCCCCAAGCATGGTGCCACCATGGGCCACCACACCTCCGTCTCTACAAGCCTGCTCCTTCCTGCCAAAGCCAGCTGGGTGGACACCATCATGCCCGCCGCCAGCCCCATGCCACATCAGCTGTGTGGAGACAGTCACTGCAGGCCAGGAGCCTGCTGTCCCTCAGTCCTGTGCTGGCAAGCAGATTGTTGCTGCTCGGGTGCCCTGCCCCCCAGCCTGGGCAGAAGCTACTCTTCCCCCTGACCACTGATCCTCCAGGACTGGCATGGGCGGCACAGAGTGCTGGCAAGAAACGGTGGACTTCGCCACCCCAGACACTGTAGGAAGGGCGAGCTGTCACAGCTGGCCCCTGCCCCAGGGAAGCTGCAGCCCCGGAGCACTCACTGTTCGCTCAGCGTGATCCCACATAGCTGGTGCTCAGCCCACTAAAGGTACACCCTTTCCGCCCACTGCCACGGCTTCTCCTCCCTCAGAACCAGGGAACACCGGCCCAAGCCCTACATACCCTCCCGCACCCCAGAACCTTGGGCGCCAGGTCTCACCTGAGGGCCAACCACACCTGGGGGTCCTGGGGGGCCGGTCTTGCCTTGGAAGCCCTGTGAAGAGAGACAGCAGACTGCGGTTGCAAAAGCCGCCTTGATGCCCTCCTCGGAAGGCCCGGGCCCTTCCCCGCCCTGGCCCTGAACGGCGGTGCTGTGGGAGTCATCAGAGACGCCCGGCATCAAGTGCACACGCGTTTCTTCCTCCCTGTATTAACTGCATGGAAGTCACGGAGCCAGACGCGGGTGTTCCACACTGAGTTCCTGTGCACACAAGCTGGCTCAGGTCATGGCATGCTTGTGCCCAAGGGGACGTGGGAGCCCCCTCCGGGCTGTGCTCGGTAATGACTTTGTGGGGGCTCTGATTTGGGCACGGCCACCTCTCACGCACCACAGGAGCGCCGCCAACCTGCTCTTCCCTGCATTTAGGACAGGCAGGCGCCAACCCTGGCTCCCACAGCCGGCGGCCCACAGGTATTATTTTTAACGAGCTGCAAGTAGAGCATCCCCTCTGCACGAGTGTGGCCCGGCAGGTGGGCGCTCTGTGGAGCCCAGGAAGGCTCTGTTCTTTGGGCTGAGCTCGGCTGCACACACTGGGCCACACCGGCCACGCGTGGCATGGTGTTCTTGGAAGCCTGGGCCTGCCCACCCAGAAGCGAGGGCAGAGAGAGAGGCAGAGGCCGTGGTGCTGCCACATGGAAGCTGCAAAGCCCGGGGACGTCGTGCGAACGTCAGCGCTAACCACGGAGGCGGCAGAGGCCTGGCCATCTGGCCCACAGTGACTCAGGGACGGTCCGTGACTCCTGAGACAGAGCCTGCCTTCAGCTCCTTGCTGCGGGGTGGGTCACAGGCTCACACTCAGGAAAAGGAATGCACACTTGTGTTTTTGTTTAAATAAAGATTAAGTTAACACCGAGGGAAAAGCACGGTCCCACGCGCATCCAAGGAGGTGGTCAGCACAGCACAAGCCATCAGAAACGGCACCGTCCCCAGCGCGGCCTAATTATTTTAGCAGCCTCTTTTCAGACTGAGACAGCAGGCAAAAAGCACACAGTCTGTAAAACCTCCTATCTTGTCTCCTTGGGAAGGTAGGAGAGAAAAATGGGCAAAGCCTGGAAGAAATGTTTTAATTTTTCTCTATAAACAATGGAGCCCTGCAATCTCCATTTGTCAGCCGGTGTGGGCTGTGCAGAGCCCTGGCAGAGACATAATTAAAAGAGGCCTCAGCACGCGCCGCCAAAGGGAGACAGGAAGGATTTTTCTAAAGCAGGCAGCGAGATCGTATCATCAGCTACGACATTCAAAGCCCCGTTCGCGCAGGACCAGCCCGGGCTGGGGGAGGCCTCCCCAGGCCTTCCAGCTGGCCGCAGAGACAAAGGACCTTTCTACCATCCCTGCATGGCTGCCGCTCTGCCCTGTGGGAAACACAGAACTCCGTGCAAACTGCCCTTTATGCTGGAAAAGCAGGCACACACGGAGCACAACCACAGCTGGGTGACAAAGAAATCACCTGGCACCGCGCGGCTTTGCCTGTCCCAAGCCTGGGGCCCCTAAGACTGGCGTGTGACCAGGACCACTTGGTGCCCGAGACAGGACTTCTGGGAAGCGCGAAAACCCCCAAAGAGGGGCTGGTGGGGGGCAGGGAATGATCACGTTCCTAATTAATGCTTTCACTGCCAACAGGAGGTGGTGGGACCCACTGTCACGGCAGCCTGCTACGCCGTTTCTAAAGCGAGGCTCGGCTGAAGGCCACCCTCTGCCTGCCGAGACGACAGCACATGCACAGCTGGGGCCTACAGAAAGGCCAAATTTCAGTACACTGGGCACCTTTCGTCCTTACTACTGGAAGGCATCGGGGCACCCTCCCTGTCCCAACCATCAGCCCCAAGCCTGGGACCACCAGGTGAACATGGCACAGGGCCCACCATCCTTCTCTTGAAATTTTATAGCCTAAATTAACTGAATGGTACAGCTACAAATGTAGACTGTGCACGGTACTTTCCCAGCTGAGGCGGCCGAAGCTCTAGCCCGGCCGTATGCACAAAGTTTAGGCAGCTGATGACACTTGGTTGGTGTCCCCGTGGTTCACACATCAAGTCTGACTAAAGTTGCTAAGACCAACAGCAAGTCAGCTGCTGCTTGGAGCCCACAGATGTGCCAGGGCCCTGCAGCTGGTCTGTCCAAACCAAGAGGACACCCCAGGCCACGCCGGACAGTCGTGACACTCCCACCTGTAGGGAAGGTAGAGGCCAGGACACGTGGCCCGGCACCCAGGGTACTCACAGTCTCGCCTCGCTGTCCAGGGTGTCCAGGGAGCCCGTCCTTGCCTGGGGGACCCTGAGGAAAGGACCGAAGGAGAGAGACGTTATAGTCAGGAAAGGCACCTGCTGAGGTAGGACCTGTCATCACACTCGCCGACAGAATTCAGCACTCCCTCAGGGGCGTGTGCCCTGCGATTTTCTCGGCCAAACACAGTAATGGTGACAGCAACAATGGAGGGCAGGACCTTACAGACGTCAACCCAGGTGTTGTCACTGATACCTGCCTGTCATTCTTCAGCCACCCCACAGGACACCGTTAACATGTGCTTCCCCCAGGAGGAAGCAGAGGCAGGGAGATGCGGCCGACCAGCACGCCAAGGTCCAGCGGGCTGTGGCCCACATCCCCGGCTGGCAGCAGGTGCCTTTCTGTTGGCGGTGCTCTGAAGAACTAGGTTGTACCTGCTACAAGATGAGCCAAGTCCCCAGAAAGCTATGCTGAAGTCCTAACCTCCAGAACCTAGGACAGGGCCCTCCTTTGGGCCTTTGTCTGCGGGACCAGTTACAGCCACAAGGGCCAAGTCAGTGACTGGGTCCTTACACAGAGACAGCTGGGGACACAGGGAGACAGAGAGGAGGTGGAGGCTGGACCGATGGATGGGCCCGGGAGCGGCAGGGAGCTCAGGCCTTGGGAGGCGAGAGGCCGGAGCAGAGGCCGCCGGGAGAAGTAGTCGGCTGACAGTTGGGCCCCCAGGACTAGGACAGAAGACAGGCTAAGCTGCTGCGTTTGTGACTATTTCTTATGGCAGCCCTGGGACCTGGATGCAGGCTGGACTGGAACACTGTAAGGGTTTGAACGAAAGAGGGGCCTGTAAGGTGGCTCTGGAGGTCCAAGCAAGTGGACACAGCCGTGGGCTGCCACTCTCTTGCTGTCCAGCCAGGGTCTTGCTGAGCCTCCTACCTACCAGAGGTCCTCAGAGAAAGACCAGGCACTGGGGAAACATCACATCCTGGGACAAGGCAGCTAGCCGCGGGAGAAGGCGGTACTTACTGGGGGACCCTTTGGTCCAGGGAAGCCCGTGGGTCCTTGGGGTCCGTTGGGTCCCTGAGGACAGAGGATGGCTAGCGTGAGACAGGGGGCCTCCCCCCAGCAGCCCGGCACTCACTGAACCCACAAGCACCCTGTGATTCCAGCCCATAACCCTCCCTGAGCAATGAGGGGCCAGCCAGCGTGCTGAGAGGCCAGTCGCAGATGCACGCCTCGGGCTCTCAGGGCAGGCAGATGGAGCATCCTCTTCCTGTGTCTCAGCAGCCTCCAGCACCCTGAGACCAGGCTCAGAGGGCAGGGCCAACATCTCCAGCCCCGTGAAGGTCACACTTCAGGGGCAGGGTCACTAGACTCCAAAAGATGTCCCAGGGTTCTGGGCAGGCCGCTTACCCGCTCACCGGGAGGGCCAGCTGGGCCATCACCTCCAGAGTTTCCCTTGGGAAGAGAGAGAAAAGCTTGCTGCGGCTCTTATGAGGCCTGTCCGTCCTGACCCGTCCCTGTGCACACCCTCCTCGAGCCCATCTGTCCTCAGGAAAGCACACATCAGAGTGGGGTGGCCAGTAGCCCCTGAGTTCACCTGTGCTCCGTACCACAGCTGACCCAGCTGACACAGGCAGGGCCCTGACATTTCCAGAACATTCTCCAGCTGATGGACAACAGATGCTGCTAGCTGCCCAGGTTTCTGTTCCCCCATAAACCCACATGTGGGGTACACTGGGTCGCTGGGATGGTGAGCCAAGCAGGAGGCACCTGGGGCTCAGTGGGGAGACTTTCCTGCAGCCCGCTCTGCCCTCAGCCAGCCAGAGGTCCATCTCTTGGGGCACGTGCAATTCTGATGGGACAGATGGGGGCAGTGGGGTCCTGGGCCTTGCAGGCTGGATGGGAAGCCACAGAGGTCACCCCAGTAAAGGTCTCTGCTGGCAGAACAGGGTGGTCTGGCCTGGGCCCGTGAGTCCCTGCTGTAGGGACGTCCTGCCACTCCCTGCCACCTCTCCAGCTCCTCCAGCTCTCTAGAAGCTGCTGGAGAAGCGGGTTCCTTCACTGGTTGAGAAGGAAACCTTCCTTTTTCAAGTGCAAAGGCCACAGAGCACCCTTGGGTGCACCCGGTCTCCGCAGGGGCGATAGTCACGTTCACATGGTCACTGCAGACGGACCAAGAAACGTACCTTGGGACCAGGCTTCCCCGTGATGCCCCGTGGGCCTCTCTCACCCCTTGGCCCCTGCACAGATGGAGAGAAGGAGGTCAGCTCTGGGGCTGGCTCCAGAGCCACCCATCCCGCCCCACACGCCCTGCCCTCCAGGATGGCCCCCAGGCCCCAGGAGTTACCGTTGGGCCTCGCTGTCCCCGTGGGCCGGGCTTTCCAGGTGTCCCCTAGAAGCAGAGGAGAGGGGGTCAGCCCTGAGAGGAGCCTGCCCTCCCTGGGCAGGGAGATTCTGCCCAAGCCCAGGGAGAGTTCTGCCCAAGGCCCACCTGGGTGGAAATAGGGCCAAGGTGTGTGTGGCAGGGCACAGCACAGCCCCTCACCGGGCCGCACACCCTACAGGCCCGGTGCCCCACATGGCCCCGCTGAAGCCCAGCTTCCTCCCATGGGAGCAATGACACCCCCTACCTACCTGGTCTCCAACCTACAAAGCTCATCCGCCTCCTTCCCTTATCCCTTCCCCCTCTCTCTCCTTCCCCAGCCTCTCTCTCAGCAGGAGGAAAAACCATTATTGCAAGAAAAGAGAAGAAAGTCAACTCCTTTCATACATAATTTACTTCTGCTACTGTTAAGAATATTAGCCATTAAATTTTCAGCAGGCTCCGTGGACGGGCAAACTTGCAATTTAACACATACATCATATATCCGGGAGTCACTGGCTCCTCGTGTGGAAATCAGACTCCTGTTTCCAAGACCGCTTTGCCTCTTCCAAACCACAGAAAGCAAATGCATTCGATGCGTTGTTTTTGTTTTTTGAAGCACAGACAAGACGGCTGGAAAATTCGGTCCACCTCCAGGACGGGAAGGACACGGAGCCCGGCCAGCACTTCACGGCAGGGGGCCCTGGGCTTCATCCTGGATCCAGTGGCAGAGTCCCAGCGGGCCCGTCAGCCAAGGGCCACGGGAGGGGCGTCTTCTCCTCAGCGTTCATTCATCCACTGCCAGGATCAGAACACTCTCCAGTCTCCCGTTTCAGGGTGCACTCACTAAGGCCATTCATACTGAGAGCCGGTCACGCTGCTCTCTACGCGGTGCGTTCCGGTGCCCGTGCTTTCCTTCAGTGGCCATAGCCTCTGGCCTCGAGCTGATATTTGCACGTGAAGATCAGGGAACATCCGCAGCCTGCACGGGACGAATGCTGTTCCAGCCCCCATCCCGCCCTCAGGGGGGCTGTGCTTCACAGCTTCCGGTGGACAATCCATCCTGGTCACGAAGTTTCTCTGCAGGAAGTGCTCACGCCCCTTCACAGCAGCCCATGAGCGCCTGTCCCCCTGGCCTAGCCAGGAAAGAATGGCTAAGGGCTCCCCCTCCCTGGGCATGGCGTGCCGAGGGGGAGCCCCAGTCCCGGGCAGCTCCAGCAGATCACCTTTCAGGCCTGCCTCGTGGGCTACAGCCAGCCCAGTGGCGCAGCAGCGCTCCCATGGTTTGAAGGTCTAGCCCTCACGGTGGCAGAAGCCAGCTGCCAGTTCAGCAGCAGCCAGAGCTCGGGGGACAGCGGAGGTGCTCAGGTGGCGAGCACATTTGCCGCTGATCCTGTTGAGCACCCCAGCACCTGGAGGAGCCAGCTGACCAGGGAGCCAAAGTGACAGCCCTTGTGTCCCCTTCTCCTGCTCCGTGCAGCACCTCTGGGAAGCCTGTCCTGCGGGCCTCCGCCCCCTCCCAGCGCACACAGGGGACTCTCCCGCTCCTCCACTTCATGCCTCCCTCACCTCCACCCTTTCTCACCTCCAGGAGGCGCCCAGCCTTCGGGGTGCAACTCCGGCACCTGTACACTGTCCAGGATCGGCGGGGTCTAGCACCCTGCACCCGTGGTCCCTGAGCGCCGTTCTCTGGCGCCCCCCTCTCACACAGGTGCTTTGGCCGCCAGGGCCCCACAGCCGGAAAGCACAGCCTCTTCTGAGGCCTGGAGAAATACCTGACTCCATGGGAAGGAAGGGCCTTTGGGCAAGTGAAGCCCGGGCCAGAGGAGGCCATTCACAGCCAGGAGACCCAGGATGGGTCACCGAGAGGACGCCACAGTTCCCAGAGAAGAGGGCGGACACACATGTGAGGGTGGTCGGCTTCCTGCCTTCTGTGAGCACCGGGGGCCACCCCGACTCTCAGGCCTGAGAGCACCCACGTTTTCCCTGGTTCTTCAAACTTGACACGGTACAGCCCAGCACCAGGGACGTCCTTGTGCACGTGACCTTTTGGCGTGACTCCCTGGGTGACGAGGCATCCTGGTTGCGGCCAGACAAGCTGTGCAGACTGTGACAAGGTGAAGAGGTGGCCCAGCTCACAGGAGTAAATGTGCCAGCGCGTGCTTGGAGAAGCCACACAGCCCTGTCCTTTTGCCTGAAGTCTGAGCAGGGGACGAGATGTCCCTGAGCAGGGCCGGGTGGTGAGATACCACCTTGGGGCTCCTGTGCTGGTGCAGGCTTTGGAGCCTGGCAGTTCTTGGTGTAACGTGGACTCTGGATTTTGTCTGGTGACTAAGACGCTGATGCCCTGGACGATGGGCAACAGGGCCGGGTCATCTGTCCACGCTCCTGGGCTATGCCCAATGTGAGGGGCCAGGGTCTGCGAAGCCCACCAGGAGCACAGGACGGGAGCCACGGGTGCCCAGAGCCCAGACCCTGGTCCATGTTCAAACCATGGTTGGATCTCGTGCCCCACTGCCGAAGGTCACAGCCTTCCGTGACGCAGCGCGGCTGGTCCCTGCATGGACTGCCATGTCCTGCCACATCAGCGTTCCCCACACTTACAAGGCCTCAGGCCATCTCCTACTGAGGCTCCTGGGGGTCTCCCAGAGGACAGCCTCTTCCCGAAGACACCAGCCAGGGCTTCTCAAGCAGGAAGAATAAAAGAGGCAGAGAGAAAATAGATAGGTAAATAGATGATTGATAGATAATGGCAAATAGACAACTGATAGGCAGAAAACAGAGGACAGATGATGGACTGACAGCGCTAGCTGGACAGATAATAAAAGATACACAGATACATGGACCAGCAGAGGAGATGGAAGATGGAAGGGAGGGAGGGAGGGGAGAAAGAGGGAGGGAGGGAGAGAGAGA